CAGATAAATGGTTTTTTGATATGACATCAACGAAACCTCGTTCACCAAAATTTTCATTTGGATCTATCAGTGAGTACCCAAACAATATTGGTAGTAGTTCTATGGTGAAACGTAGAAACAGTCTTCTAGTAACAAGAGAACAGCAACAGATCGATGTAGATTGGAACTGTAATCGAGGATTAATTGTAAAGTATTTTCATAATTATACATGTTTATGTCCGGCAAGCAACTTCTGCCACAAGTGTCAGCATCAGAGTGAACGTTTAAGCGTTCAATTTAAAAAACAAGCGCGAGTAAGTAAAAGGCGCGATAGGAGTCTTGGTGAAGAAAAATCGTGAGGCCCTGCTTAGTCACGACAACGGGAGTCATGTCGCGACAACAGCTAGCCCTGCTGAAGTTTTGATAAAACACGGGACTCACGATGCGACTTCGCGAGTCACATCGCAAGAATAAGGGCTTACGCCTAAATATTGGGAAAAACATGGGACTCACACAGCGACAGCGGGAGTCACACCGTGAGTTTTACGAGTGGATTGGAAAAATCATGACTCCGGTTTCGTTGATGTCATATCAAAAAACCATTTATCTGAGCCGTCTGCACAATCAATCCTACCATCTGTAACCATAGTTTGTGCCACCATCGGAAACGACACCAAAGTCGGATTTTGACAAATAAAATAATTTGGAACTAGGATAAATCGTGCCTAATAACAAATATTTTCATCATCCTCGAATTCACAATCAATTTTTTGATCACAAATACGATCAGTGAGTACATTCTGTACTATTCAAACAACGATAACGGCGCACTAGATCTGCTGGATATTTCATTGCACAATGTCTTAATCGCTCATCAGTGCCTCCAAGACAATCTACAATACCGTTTCCTGCTTTTTTATATTATATTTCTGATGTTAAATACAGTTCGTTTATACATAGTTCATCACGGCCATCATAAGAATCCCAAACACCGTTGCAACGATTTGCTCGACTATCGCATGACCAATGGGAGCAACTCGTTTCGTCTGTTTCGTTATCGATTAATATTTGAGTTCGGTTATTACCGTTACACAATTCTTGAAATAAAAAGAAAATCTTTGGTAAATTCGTATCGTCTCGCATGATTTGGCAAGCCAAATCATTTTGTTTCAAACATCGAATATCAAGAATTTCATCAGAATTGTCGCTGCAATCCAGTTGTAAACCTTCTGATCCTGAATCAAACATGAATCGACGTGATATTCATTTGTTGTTAAACATTTAAAATGATTTAGTATATTTAATTCGGATGTGTACTCATACCCTTCATCCAAAGCAAGATAACAGTCATCTTGTTGTACATGTAGAATCTGGAAAAAACATAGTGATAGCTGAAAAGTTGATGCAGGAAGAAAAATGACAGGAATGATTTTTGTGTCAGTTTATGCGCTTTGTGACACCTTCACAGTAATTTGCCATTTTCTCCCTGAAAATTAGGTCACATCGAAAAAGTAAGGTCATATTCGGGATCATCAGCTCCTAGCGACTCAGATTACGTGTCTTAAAACGAAAACAAAACTTTTGGAGCTTTTGCATTAACGGCATCTTACACTGAAATAATTTTTCAGCTTGATCTGTGTGATTTGTGCATCCAGAAAACAAATGTAGAATGAAATCTAATATGGATTCGCGATCAACCGGTTGTTCTAATAAATACTAACTATTTTGACCCATTCTAATGGCTGAACATGATACGTCGTCATCGATATCGATATCTGCTGTGAATGATGGACAAAAATCTTTTTCAAAACACGCCAAATCTGGTGTTTTTCGATTACCACCCATCGAAATATGGCTGATCCAATACATAAAGAAAATGAATGGATAGATGACACCATACTGTGGAAATACGATTTTATCTGGGCAACATTTCTCAATCTCTTCCACACAATGCATATTGGAACAAATGTTTTTACACTTCGTAGTCAAACAGATTAGTTAATAGCGTATAGCATAACATGCATTTCCAACAATCCGATGTAATAAACTTACTATCACCATTATTTGCTCAATAACGATAGATGCTTTGTAAATACAATCTGTAACGTTTTCGATCTAAGAACATATTATCATACACTTGACATTCTCCATTACCGTCAGAAAACATCATTCATGCACAATTGTATTCTTCGCATTCAACAGATGTATCAGTTGCACAACGATTGACCCCGATCCTTCCTGGAGAAACGTATTGCTTATCCGTATTATCTTGACAATCAAATACAAAATCGACTGCGAAAACTTTCCTAGTACACATTCCATTTTGACATCAATACTCTATTTTAGGATCACATTCATTTCATTCCAATTGTAAACACTTTTCGCCTTCATCTTCACCGTCTTGACAGTCAATAATTCCATTGCATACTTGTCGCCAATCTAAACACAGCGAACTGTTACACGACAAACCCGTGTAACATGTTATATCGTCCATGCTCATTGTCTCAATATTTACGACCGATTGTTTTGCAGCATGACTGCTAATTTGATGTTTAACGATTGTTTCAAGAACAGTCTCATCTGCTAGAAACCTATATTCACGTCTAGTACCGAACGAAAGCGGATCTGAACAATTACAGTAGATTTCATTATCGAACGATTTCGTTGTTAAATTGTAGCTTTCATATGCACTAATTGTATCAATAGGAGCATTCCAATCAAGTAGTTGTTCAGCATTTATATGCATTAATTTCAAATCACGAAACGTATAGTTTCTACCATCGTCAACGCAATTTTGTTGTTGTTGGATTTCATCCATGTTGACGCTTCGTCACAATAAGGTACAAGACTATGGGCTTCACGACTGATGATTAATGACGAATATAAATATGAACAGTCATAGTAATTGTGTTGTTGTTTGAATCTTGGAACACTGTGATAAAGGCGAAAATGGCTTCCGCTTGCCGTCGCAAACAACGTGATAAAAAGAATTGCATTCATTATCAGAAGCGGTTATGATAATTGGCTTGTGCGCCTTATTTATTATAAATGAGTATTGTGTCATATGAATCTGCAGGAAAACCAATAGAACGCAAATCCGATCTATACTGGATGGAGGGACAATGCTTTTTCAATAACTACTATCCGTTCCAAAATAGCTATAAGGATAAAACATCCATACGGTTGTTACTTTTCAATATAGCAATGGTAGCATCTACGATTTTCAGATTCGTAATCATCATAGCACAATTCACAAAATAAAATATGTTCAACCTTGTCTCAGTAGGAGCACTCCCTTGTCAGCTGAAACAGTAGTCAGGAACTAAAACTCGGTATATAAAGAGGATACGATTAGGATTAAGATTACGAACGTACACATATACTCCTAGTATACAACTATTGATAATAACTGCTACTATCCGTTCCAAAATATAGTGCACTCGGATGTTTTTGAATAACTTTTGATAGAAGCCAGCTAGAGAGCTTCGGCTTTCGCCATGCGAAAGAGGAGACTCGGAGGCATCTTTCTGTACGCAAAAGCTTTTTCAGAAATGTTTTCTGGAAGATCTTTGAAAAACCAGGCTGCGTGTAAAAGCTTTTCAATAGGAAAGTATTGATTTTCCTCTATGGCCTGATAGCCCAAGGTGTCCTCTTCAAAATGAGAGAGAGTCAAGCGAAAGCTTGATTTTCCACGGCTCCAGTGTTGTGTCGGATTTCTTACGAGTCTCAGCACTGGCACCCGGTGACTATTGGTAGCCTGGAAAACGGATGGACTATAGGTAATCGATCATGCTGAGTCTCGTGGCAATAGTTATTTCTAGAAAAAGTTCTAAAAACCTACCAAAAAGCGAGTTTTACGAAAATTTGGGTTTTCAAGCTTTTTTCACCTAATATTAAAAAACTCACTATTCACTCGATAAACATCAGAACGAGTTCAAAACTTCACGATATGGTTAATTTTCTCCGCTAAACGTGATTATAAGACCGAAAAATCGAAAAAGCATATTTTTATTATTAGATTGTCCAGGAACACTTTTAAAAAATCTTAGAGTTTTGTAAAATTTCTGTTGAGATCTCCGATAAATGGGATATAGAATGGCTTAAATACTCTACATTCTGAGTATATGTGTACGTTCGTAATCTTAATCCTAATCGTATCCTCTTTACATACCGAGTTTTAGTTCCTGACTACTGTTTCAGCTGACAAGGGAGTGCTCCTACTGAGACAAGGTTGAACATATTTTATTTTGTGAATTGTGCTATGATGATTACGAATCTGAAAATCGTAGATGCCACCATTGCTATATTAAAAAGTAACAACCGTATGGATGTTTTATCCTTATGGCTCTCTCAAAATAGAGTTATTTTTCTAATAATCATAATTTTCAGACATATTCTCATTCACGAGCCGCATATCATTCTGCAACATTACTTAAAACTGCTACCACTCAGGACAGACTTTACTCTCGCCGCTGGAGGATTTTTTGATGAGGGCTCCAGACCTAAGGTTATCTTCATCTTTTACTTACTAGCAAACCGTAATATTTCGAATGCTGGTGGAACATGTTAGAGAATGAAACATGTTGAAACAACGTAATAGATCTTTATAAATAACACTTCACATCATTCTGATTGATCCATATAAGCAGATAAATAAATTGAACAGAGTCGTTTATTATTTAATAAACGATTGTCACGAACTGTGGGTGTTCGTGACAAAAACAGAAACCATCATATTTTTTCTTGTAGTCGTCTTCTCTTCATTAAGTGAATGATTGACGTCAGAGAGAATATTGCAGGAGAAATGTTAGAGTATGGTGTCGCACGGGAACCGAAACCGGTGATATGATGGTACTCTTACTTTGTGTCTCTCAAAACTGCTACGTAAATATATTTCATATCTTTTTCTAGAATTTTAAACTTCGACAACTGCTACGGTGTAAAATCCTTTTCATTCCTTCTTCTGCTCTCAATATAATTCTTAGATGTCAGTATTACTTAATTCATTTGAAACAGTTTTTCCGAATACCACAATCACAGTTGATCATGTATTGTTTAAACAGAAATCACTCTTGTCTGTTGAAATGGATAAATTATCTAATCTCTACTCTAGTGTGTTAACGTTCATCAAAGATACAAAATGATTTCACCACAAATGATGTATTTCTGGCACATACTTGTCTAAAGTTGGTTTGTGTCAGCAGCAGAAGGAACGAAAGAATTAATTAATACATTGCCAGCTATTGTTATTTGATCAACCATGTTGAGAACTCCGTAGCCCGTGTCATTCTCATTCGACTCAGAAGTTATTGAATTGTACTACCATACGCTGTGAAAGATCGAAGCTGAGAATACGATGAAATTTATCAGAATGATGGATACTCACTCATTAGCACTAATGAATGATTTTGCGCGTCTGCTTCTAGTGTTTCTAGCGTTTTATGCTGCCGTAAGGAAAAATATTGACACTACTACATTTTATGAGAAAATTTTGTGAATACCAGTTGTAGATTCAGTTGTATTCGAAATATCAGTTATTAGCGTGGTCCCGTGCCGAATGATGCTCAGTTCTTCTAAATAACTTATATTAAGTACAACATATAGCGTGCAAGTAATCAGAGTGTGAGCTGAACGCGATCCAAATTACTTAGCAACCTCTCAAAATTTCGCATGAATGATTCGAAACCTTTTTGTCGCTAATGAATAATGACCCGAAGCTAAAAACCAGTAGGATTCAATAAAAAACATGCGTTTTTAGCTACCAATATACAAAGCATATTTTTTCCAAAACCATTGTCCGTATTTGAAAGAATGATATTCAAAATTGAACGAACTACATAGAAAAACTCGATTTTCCAGCACAATGCTTCAAGGCACTTCTACAGATTTTCCAAAACAAACCTATTTTTCTTTTAAAGTGCGTTTGCTGCATATTGCAAAACTTCTGTTATTCTGCAATTTCTAAACTTGAAAAGCTTGAATTATAGGAAGATACATATTATTTGCTCATCTAACACGTCTATATGCTTCGGATCACACCATAAAATATTTTTTATGTGATCTGAGCAAAACCGCACTGTAAAAAATAAGCTGTTTATAATTAGGTGTGTAAATCGTCTAAACAGTCACTCAGCACCGAAAAGTATGTACTTTTTCTAAACGGTCAATCTCAGTGTGTAAGAAGCTGGGTGTGTTTTAAAAATTTCTTATTCGCTATTTTCGTCGCGAACTACTACATGAAACGAAAAAATGATTTCAGAAAGTATATATCAAAAGTATATATGTTGTCACTCTTAGCCAAAACCGATAAGAAAACAAAGCGAAAAAGAAACATCGCCATATGATAGGTTTGAACAATGGATTAATGGATCGGAGACATTTCCAGCACATACGGTTTAGACAACTAGACTGCATTATTGGTTTCAGTGTGTAAAGCTAGTAGATCACTTCTTAGTATGTATTTTACACATCTACGCCGTACGTTCTAGACGGTCACTGGGAATCGACTTGGGGTTCACTTTATGTGTGTCGTTTACACACTTTATTTTTTACAGTTCGTAGTTCTTGCACTGACCTGAGATAGATACAATCGAACCAGAGTAACCGGACCGATCCGGTCTGGTGTAGAAGTTTAGACCGGTCGGACTCCACCGGTCTTTTACCGGTCTAGAAAGATTTTCAAACCGGCCGGGAATTGACCGGTTTTTTGTCGGTTTTGAAATTCTTATTTTTCAATGTCTTCTAATTGTTGTTGCGTCAATCTATATTTCTCTCGTCGATCTGGCTTCAGCAGATCGGTAAGGGCACAGACCAAATATTCAAATGGAACAGTTAAATGATTGTCTAACACTTCTCTTTTCATTTGTATCTGACTCAGCCGATGAAGCCTCATCTAATGACATTGGTTGATTGTCTTCAGCGGAAGGTTCGTATTTATTTGAACTATCCTCAGCAAGCGATTCAACAGATGAAGGATAATCAACATTTTCGGCTCCTAATTTGTCCTGATTTTGCTTTTTTATCTTTGTTGAGTATACGTCGATTTTCAAATGCATAACACCGTGGACACAATACATCTCCTTCCATCAAAACTGGTATCAACTTTTTTCTCATTTTACTTTTGTAATGTTTGTTCATAGCTTTAGCCAATTCTTTGTTCAGAGTTCGATCAGCAGGAGGCGCACTGTTGGTAGATTTCAAAGATTCTGATATGTCATGTTTCGTAGGATGTTTACAACGATTTATTGTCGGCATTTCAGTGAATTTACCTTACACTACTTTCAATGGTATAAGTTCCCTTTATAGGGAACTTAAAGAATGCAGATTTCAACTATTCCATCGGAAAGAGCATCACTTAAAACCTATAAATTGACAAAAGAAAGTTGCCGGCAAACACTCAAAACCCAAAAAAAATTCA